GTGCCTTGTGCGCACATTGTTTACCTATATTTGCCCATATACAATATTGCCTTTACATTCATATGTATGACATAATGTGAAGTAGCTGTCTACCTGCCAAATACCTCTCTTGAACCTTAACAACACAGACCACAGCTGTGGCTATTTTTTTTGAGCTCCTGCCTTTGAGTTCATCAAATATTCAGCCATGTCAAACACTCCCTCAATATCAGACTCTACGCAACAGTATTTCTGTGATGCCTTACAGTACATAAAGACAGTCTGGCAATGCATGAATGGTATATAGCACTTCTGAGATAGGCATCTGGTACACTCTTCTGGCCTTCTTGAGACTCACACACTGTCTTCTCTTTGACTCATTAGGCTGAGTAGTGTGGTCTCAAAACTGATTTGTCCAGAAATTAGCTTAGTATACTGCTAGTCTACCTGTACATGCAGTTCAAAATCAAAATTTGTTTATTTGTGTCATATTTATCAGGGCAGGACTGGTCTGAGCTGGTCTGAATCAGTCTAAGACCGCATTTGGTCCTAGACTGGTTATGACTGGTCCAGGACTGCACGGAGGACTGTACAGGACCAGGACCCAGTCTTGGTCCGGTCCTGCACAAACAGATGCTGGTCCCTGACCAGTCTGAGTCCTGGTCCCACCCAATTTTTAAAAAAGACTGGACCGGACCGGACCCTCAACCACTACCTCGCACATGATAATTGAGGACAAAGGACAATATATTTGCAAAGCTACAGTAAGTACATAGGTGCGGGCAGGTATTATGAACACGTCGGAGGCATGCAAGGAGCAAGAGCGACGACAGGCCAAGGCCCCGCATTTGCAGGAGTACCAGGATGCTGCCGCGAAGGGACGCAACCGTTCAAGTTGCGCTCAACGCGACAAGCTTTGGGTCAGCTCCTGGACCAACGCGCAACACGTAAGCTGGTTCAACGTAGCCAGGGCCGAGTTCAACGACATCAAATTTTGTGCCTCCCAACCACTTACGTTCGAGTCCGTCCCGTGGCCCCTGCTCTGTCCACCTCATAGGCGGACCTTCGATAGCATCAAGTGGACTAACATTGAGGTGTTTGCAGCTGCATCAGGGAAAACCTCCGGGGCTAATTAGATATAACTTCGCCTAGTTACACGTAGTTAGTTGATTAGGACATCTTAGGTTACCTAGATCAGTCCCCCAGTTACCTAGTCAACTTATCGTACTTAATAACACTTAGAGCATGCTTAGGTGGTCATTACACTACCATTAGAAGCACTAGTTCGTAGATACAATACACTGAATACAATGCAAGCATGCATACATACTGTATTATGAACGTCCGGAGTGTGACGATGACCGCAACACCAACAGCGGCGAACAGGGCTAGTCATCAAAGACAAGACGCGCAAGCGCCCCACGCATGGCCTGCTTTGATCTTTGGGGTGCCGGAGTAGCAGCGAGACCACTGGAGCTGTCGCACAGTGGGTGTTAGTTACTGCAGACAATAGCAAGCGAGTAGCTTACCAGACGTCAACATAAACTTGATGAAGGATGCGGTGGTAGAATCTTGGACGGTTCTTGCGAAGGTCGTCGAAGAACTCGATGACGTTGTTGTATTCTTCCTCGGCCTTGGCAGCGGTGTATTTCGAGGCCTCCGCTGGCTCGATACCACCTGCCCAGTCATCTAAAGTCAGCCGGATCTACCAAAGTATTAGTTGGGTTGATGACTTGGAGTACAGTTAAGTTCAGAAACTCGAAGGCAAGACGTACCGCAGCACTCGCGAGAGCAAGCATTGGTACGGGAATTTCCTTCTCGAGTGGCTTCTCAGTGCTGGATGACACAAACCGGACGGAGTGAGCAACTGCAAGTGAAGGCTTGCCACGGCGGGGTGAGAAGAAAGTCTCTTTAATGATCTCGGCGAAGATCGGACGCTTGAATGGAGCACTGCCATCAACGCGGCCCTGTGTCGCACAAAACCAATCGTTAGTTATATGCCAACAAGAGGGTTTTAAAGATAACATACCATGATATCGCCAGGGAAGATGTAGCCAAGGTCATGTACCAGGGCTCCGACTCGATGGAAGCATGGCCTGGTCTGGTCACCAGGCTTGTCCGAGATGAGGCCATACTCCTTCGGCACGCTGGATTTGCACAGCCCCTTGAGGTTGCTGCGTATGAGCACAACGCGTTGCTCGCCCTGTGACCGTGGAGAGA